CTCTTTCTTTAAAGATCTAAACTTTTCATTGCAGAGATTGTTAATGGCTTTGGTCAGGTTTATTCCAAGACATTTTTTTTTTTTTGAGGCTGTTGTCAATGGGAGGATTTCCCTGTACTCTTTCTCTAATTGCTTGCTATTGGTATATAAAAGGCTACTGATTTCTATAGATTAATTTTATAACCTGCCCCTTTTCTGAAAGTGTTGATCAGTTCTAGGAGTTTTCTGGTAGAATTTTTGACATCTCTTATGCGTAAAATCATATCAGCTACAAAAAAGGGTAATTTGACTCTTCTCTTCCAATTAGTACTCCTTTAATTTCCTTCTCTTGTCTTATTGCTCTATCTAGAGTTTCAAACATTATATTAAAAAGGAGTGGAGATAGTGGAGAGCCTTGTCTGGTTCTTGATTTTAATGGGAATCCTTCCAGTTTTTTTTTTCTTCATTTAGAATGATGTTGGCTATGAGTTTGTTGTATATAGCTTTAATTATGTTGAGGTATGTTCCCTCCAATTCAATTCTCTCTAGGACTTTTAACATAAGTGCATGCTAAATTTTGTCAAAGGCCTTTTCTGCATCTATTGAGATGATTTGTGATTTTTGTCTTTGAGTCCATTTATATGATTTATGACATTTATTGACTTACATATATGGAACTATCCTTAAATCTCTGGGATAAAGCCAACTTGGTCATGCTGGATGACATTTTTGATGTGTATCTGTATGTTGTTTGGAAGTATCTTGTTGAGAATTTTTGCATCTATGTTCATTAAGAGTATGGATCTATAGTTTTCTTTTTTGTTGTACCTGTACCTGGTTTTGGTATTACAGTGATACTGGCTTCATAGAAGGAGTTTGGGAGTTCTCCTTCTGTTTCTTCCTTTTTGAATAATTTAAGCAGTATTGGTTGTAGATCTTCCTTAAATGCCTGATAGAATTCTGTTGTAAGTCCATTTGCACCTGGGCTTTTTTAGTTGGGTGGTTTTGTATTACTGTTTCAGTTTCCTTATATGTTATGGGTTTTGTTTAAACTGTTGATCTCTTCACCAACAGCTTTGGTGATTCCCATGGTTTTAGGTATCCATCCATTTCTTTCAGGTTTTCAAATTTAATAGAATATAGGTTTTAAAAGAATTCCCTTATAATGTTCTGAATCTTTTTGGTGTCTGTTGTGATGTTTCTCCTTTTATTTCTGATTTTGTTGCTGCTTTGAATTTTTTCTTTCTTTTGGTTAGCTTGGATAACTAGTCTTTCTGTGTGTCTGTCTTTCTTGTTTATCTTTTCAAAGAACCGGCTTTTAGAGTCATTGATCCTTTGTATTGTTTGCTTCTGTTTTATTAATTTCTGCTCTGTTTTTTTGTTATTTCTTCTTCTCTGCTGGGTTTGGGTTTAATTTTTTGTTGCCTTTCCAGAGTCTTGAGTTGCAATGTTAAGTCATTTATTTATGATCTTTCTAGATTTTTTAAAATATAGGCACTTAGAGCTATAAACTTCCCTCATAGGACTGCTTTTAAAGTGTCCCAGAGGTTTTGTTGTGTTGTATTGTCCTTTTTGTTTAATTATAGGAATATATTTATTCCTTTCTTAATTTCTTCTTTGACCCATTCATCATTCAGGAGTGTGTTTAATCTCCATGAATTTATGTAGTTACTAGGGCTTCTTCCAGTGTTGATTTTAAGCTTTATTGCATTGTGGTCTGACCGAATGCTTGGAATTATTTCAATTTTTTTATTTTTTGAGGTTTGTTTTGTGCCCCAGTATGTGGTCAATTTTGAAGAAAGTTTCATGGGGTGCTGAACAGAAAGTGTATTCTTTGATGCTTGGATGGAATATTCAGCAGATCTCTGATGGTCCATTTGATGTATGGTATTGTTTAATTTAATGTGTCTCTGTTTATTCTTTGTCCAGTTGACCTGTCTAATGGATACAGTGTTGTATTGAAGTCCCTGTTATTTGTGAATTGGGATTAATCTGTGTCTGAAGTCCTGTAGTACTATTTTTGTGAAGTTGGGTGCATGTGAGTTTGGCACATATATGTTCATGATTGTAATATCTTCTTGGCCAATTGCTCCTTTTATCAGAATGAAGTGAACCTCTTTATCTCTTCTGATTAGTTTTAGTTTGAAGTCTATTTTGTCAGATATTAGAATTGCAGCTCCTGCTTGTTTCTTAGTGCCATTTCCTTGGGATATTTTTTCCATTCTTTCACCTTAAGGTAGTGCCTGTCCTTGTAGGTGAGATGGGTTTCTTGCAAACAACAAAAAGATGGATTTTACTTCTTAATCCATTCAACTAGTCTGTGTCTTTTGACTGGGGAGTTCAGTCAATTGCTATTTAAAGTTATTATTGAAAGATTTATATTGATTCCTACCATTTTAATTTCTGTTTGCATTCTTGGTCTAACTTTGTGTTTCCATAGTTATACCTTCATTTGCTTTCTTTCTGTTTCCCCTTGGGTAGAGTTGTTCCTTTATTATCTCTCTATATTGCTTCAAAAATTCTCTGAGGGGCTAGGCTAGTTTTGTGGACATGAATTCTTTCAGTCTATTCATGCCATGGAAGATTTTTCTTTCCCCTTCAACTATAATAGACATTTTTACTGGGTAAAGTATTCTGGGTTGGCATCTATGGTCATCTAGAACTGGGAATACTTTGGTCCAGGCTCTTCTAGATTTCCCTTTCTGTTTTAAAGTATATCTTTGTTGGATACAGTGATCTTGGTTGGAAGTTATTTTGTTTCAGACTTAAAGTGCATTTCTCATGTTTTCCTCAACTTAGGGTTTCTGCTGAGAGATCTGCTGTTATTTGGATTGGTTTGCCTTTGCAAGTAAGTTTACACCTTTCTCTTGTAGCATTCAGGATTCATTGCCCTGTTATTTTGGCTTTTACAGTGTACTATGGTATGGAGAGGTTTGGGAGTGGGAAGCATGTCTATTTATAGTTCTAAATGCCTCATATCCTTGCATGTCAACTTATTTATCTAAATATAGGAAATTTTCTCCTATAATTTCATTGAATAGACTTTATGCCTTTTGTCCATCTCAGTTTCCTCCTCTATAGTACAGATTTATACATTTGATTTCATGTATGTAGTTGTGTGTAGTTGTGCATGGGTCCACATGGATGTGGAGGTTGACATTGATGTTTTCCTCAATCTTATTTAGTGAGACAGTGTCTCTTACTGAACCCAGACCTCACTAATTCAGCTGAATTTGCTGGCCACAAGGACCATCCTGTCTCCACCTACCTAGGTGCACACTGCTGTACCTGGATTTTTACACAGGTTCTTGGTATCCAAACTCAGGTCCTCATTCTTGAATGACAGGCACTTTACCCACTTTGTACCAGAAGGGAAGAACCAAAGGAGCGGCACACTATGCCTACCATTCATAGTGCTTTCAGATTCCACCAAGTAGTACACCATCCTGCAGGAATCAGGAGGTGGTGGAAATCAAGTGATCTTCCATAGTTGGATTCAGATCTTACAAGCTTGTCCAGTAGCAAACTGCATACCATGGTGAGGCAGCTTTAGCGTCCAAGCAACCTTTTGTCATGGAATCAGAGCTCCCAGATCTCCACAGTAATTCTAAAGTCATGGGACCCCTCCTTGGCACAGAGAGTGGGGCCAATGACCATAATATTTTCCATAGCCTGAGAGACCTACTGCTTAAACTTCTCAGTGGAGTCATGCCAAACTCCCCCCTCCATGGCTTCCTTTCATGACTACTCTACTTTGAGCTGCCATATGTTGGGCTGTTATTCTAAATATGAGCAATGTTTTCCTCGGCTATAGAGTTATGAAGTCACATTCCTTGCCTGCATACTCTGCACAGACTGGTTGATGCTACATCTACTTAGCACACTTTAAGCAACAAAAGTCTAAGTTATGTATTTTCGGAGAATAATTTTAGGGAACACTGAAAGAGAATGGAGGCACTAAAACCACTCCATGTCAGTCCTTTGTGCTGCCATGATTATATCAGTCATGAATCTGTATATACACTCTATCGGGCAAGTTCAGTTTGCTACTAACAGCAGCTCCTTAATACCTAGATTGTGTGGCATCAGAAAGAACTTGTAGTAGAATAGCAGCTGAGCTGGAGAATTCACCTGTCTTGGTCATTAATCCTTCCATTCCCAAGCCTAGGGGGAGGTGGTATGTGTGAATGAAGAGGGGTGAAAAGAAGAGCCTTGAAATCCCTCTGTCTCAGGTTGACCTGACTGTATTCATCCATGACCAAATTGGCAGTATGTCAGTTCTGTTCAATACAATTTCTTTCTATTTTCCAGTCTTAGGCCGAAGTTATGAGCACTGTCTTGGGATTTATCTCCCTTGGGGTAGAATTTTGGTCCTGTATTGGAGGCTTCAATGGGGCAAGAAATTGTTCCCCAGTGGGCATCTTGTCTTCAGCCATAGGGCAAAATGAGATATTAATGAAGGTTTAATCAAGTAGATGCTCCCTCCTTTAATTAGTGGAAAGGGCCTGGTTTTAAAAGTGTTTTTGTTTGGAATATATCTTACTAAAATTCCTTACCTCTGAAGTGCAAGCTGTTTGTTCACTGGCTATCAAGTTTTAGACATGGATCCTAAAGAACAAGAGAATCATGAGCTCCCTTTACCCAGTCCTTGAATCCATTATTTCATTCTATAGAAACTGAGGTCTTGCCAAGTGTTGATGACTTGCCCAAGATCCTAATTTTTTAATGGAAGAACTGACACTAACATTGTTCCCTTCTACCACTATTTCTGTCTGTACACCATGTTGCTTTGATCACTCCCAAGCTTGACATCATCTTAAAGTTGGAGTTGGAGCTTTACATGCAAGAGATGTGTTACTAAATATCCAAAGTTTGGTGTTTTATTCACATATATTCTTGATAGGAATACAAAGAACGCAAAAATGTAAAAATTTCAGTTATTTCTAAAAAGCACTTCAGTATACAACTGCTGAAGTTTTTAAAGGTTATACATATAAAAAGCTTTATGTTAAATTCATGATATGATCTTGAGGAACTATGTGGTTGATTTTATTTTTACTAATTTTTACAGCAACAAGACAAAGAAAATTGTACATTTCCTTGTATCGTGCTTTGCATTCAGGTACATGAGGCCCTAGAAATGGAAGTGATTAAATATTTATGACATCTGATTTTAGCATTTTAATGAGAAATGTTTCAAAAAGGAAGAAAGAACAAAAGTATTTCTATTGTCAATATACTGTTAAATATCCCATGCATCTACTGTTAATGTAATCTTACTTATCCTTGAAGTTTGATTAAAGCTGATCATTAAGACTTACGAAGAAATGACCTTTGCTCAACTCTAAATGGCGGCTATTAGTATTATTTTCTATTTATAAAAATAAGATTAATAAAGCATACATGTTAAAGTTCTGTAATTATAAGCCAAGCGATCTATTAAATGCCTTATGCATCTAAAATTACTCCTTAATTACAGAAACATTTTACTTAGGTTTCTTGTCTGCATGATGATGACTCAAATTTACATAATGTAATTGCTTCTTTTGAATTTAATATTTTGTGTGTGTGTGGTGCTGTATGTGTTCATGTAGGTATGTTTATGTGTGCACCCATGTGTGTGTGTTCGTGTGTGTGTGTGTTGTGTGTTGTAGAGGCCAGAGGAGAGGTCAATGTTAGTGTCTTCCCACATTATTGTTTTGAGACAGGATCTCTTATTGTACCTGAAACTTACTGGCCAATGAGCTCCAAAAATTCTTGTGTCTCTACCTCTCCAGTACTGGAATTACAGATGTTGCATGGCACCCAGCTTTTACCTGGGTGCTGAGGATGGAGCTCAGGTCCTCATGTGTGAGTTGCATGTACTTTACTACTGAGCCATCTTCAAAGCCCACCAATTAATATATTGTGATTTGGTTTTCAGGATTTTTTTTAAATACACTTTAAAGTTGAATTGGTTCATCTTTGTAGATTATGCATATAATACAGTCAACTTATGAAGACTGTGTTGAGAATATGTAAAAGAAAGGTTTAGGAAACACTAAAGAATTCAATCACTTAAATATTCATGGAATTGAATTCTTTCTCATGTGTCTGTCATATGTGCATCCCTGAGTATATAGTTATGTGTTTATTGAAAATTTCACCAAGAAAACCTTCTTATGGGTCAAAGTTGTCTTTAAGGGAATATGTTATTCATGCTTTCACCTAATTTTTGTTGGCAAATTCTTAAAATTATTCAGATTAGTGAGAATTTATTTCTTATGAGAAGCTGGTAAAAACTCTTTATGAAATTCTGACAGTTAAAGAGTTTATACAGAGAAGCTTGTGGTTTTAATTCAGGCTTGTTTCTCTAACTTGGGGCACTGGACTACTGTTCCTACTGCAGGAGAGCTCGTGAGTATGCTTTGCAGTGGCTTGGTGCAGATTTTACCCACTAACCACTGCTTTTATTGGGTGAAAACTGATTTTTTTTTAATTGTAGGGCAGCATAGTTCTTTCTGTCACTGAACAGTTTAAATAAGAACTTTTTTGGCATCTGATCATTGGCTTTAATATTGTATAACTATAGGGGCAACCCCATTATCTTTATTTATTTTAGAATATTTGGAATTTTGCTGATCTTTCTGGACGTGTGTCTTGTGGTTATAGATGTACTCGCCAATCATCAAAAAATTTACATTCCTTTGGAATATCGTTTCGTTTCTTTAGGCATTGCTTTATTTTTTCTTGTTGATGTTCTTCTTCGAGTGTATTTAGAAGGGTGTTTGATTCTATTTATCTATATATCTGTTTATCTATTTATCCATTTATCTATCATCTGTCATCTATCTATCAACTATCTATCTGTCTATCTATCTATCTATCATCTATCTATCTATCATCTATCTATTTTGGTCTTTTTGAGACGGTCTCTCTGTAGCACCAGCTGGCCTGGGACTCACTATGTAGACCAGGCTGGCCTTGAACTCACAGAGATCCGCCTGCCTCTTCCTCCCGAGTGGTGGGAGTAAAGGCGTGCACCACCACGCCTGGCGATTCTTTCTTTTTAAAAGCATAAAGTCATTTCATTATAAGAAGTATCCCATAATAGTTATCAGATCAGTTCAACCAAATGGATCTTTCTTCATCAAAATTATCCTCCTTGAAGGTATGGCTCACAGAAAAATAGTCATCTAAAGCCAGTTTTTCATAGATTGGCTTTATCGGTGTTACTGTTGCACCTCTACTGCAGTCTCCAACAGTGTATTCTAGATAGTCACCTCAATTGATAAATCTTAAAGGAGTTTCAAGAAATGACCAGTCAACCATTGTGTCTACTTAGACATTAATAAAATGAACATGTATATGAGTCAAAATAATATTTCATTAAGACTTGAATTCCAAATTAGATTTGATGACATAGTAGATAACAGGTCATAGCTAATTCATATCTCAGTTAAAATGGAAACTATAGTCCAAAAGAGTTCTGAGGCATGCTCTTCCCATCAGTGAGACAGTAAGACAGCAGTTGACTTCTGTCTCCTGGTATTTTGAGCAGGTGGGTGGGTGAGCCCAGCTGTGGGACTGGGCTGTATTGGTTGTCAGGGACCTAAGTTCTCCAGTTTCGTTTTTCTCTCAGAGCATCACAGAAGAATTTGTCTTCCCTTCTGAGATTTTTTTATCCCTATGCCTTTTTTTGAGCTAAGGACAGTTGCCCACTACTGAGTTGCTCAGAATCTAAAAGATGCTGTCTCAATGTTCTCTTCAGTGGGGTAGCCGTTGGTAAGGTGTCCACGGTCCTATAAGTAACCATTCACCCATGCTCCTCTAAGCAACCCCAATAAAACTCATTGTATCCCAAAAGAAAAAAGGATGTGAAATTCAAAAAGGGGCTATTTGGGAAGAGGAAGGGGACTAGCAGGAATGGGGGGAGGGGAGAAGGTCATGGGTGAATATGATCAAAACACACTTATGTACATATCAAAGAATCAATAAAAATATGATTAAAAATTCAATAAAAAACAATAACCAAGTGTTTAAAGTCAGTATTGGTGACACACATCTTTAATCCCAGCACTTAGGAGGCAGAGACGGGGGGATCTCTGAAAAAAGAGGCTTTCTCAGAATCAGAAGATGCTTTCTTTGGAAGACCAATGCTCACTTCTGAAGGAAAGATGTCTGCTTTGCCCTGGGAAGACCATACCAGCCTATTGAAATCCCAGTGTGCCTGCACGTCCAGAGCACGAGTCCAAAATAATGGTCCCCTCTCCCTCTGTAAGCTCCTCTTACAGACATAGCCCCAGTCTCTCTGTGGCTGTGCCACCTGCAGCTTCTTTTGCTCAACAGCAATGCACAGCATCTCACTTCACTTCTACCTACATGGGAGAAAGCAGTGCTTGTCTCCTCAGTGGTTTGATTTTGTCTCTTATTAAGTGTGAATTATAATCTTGATGTGTTTTTCAAATATGGATACAAAGTAGCATGGATATAAGTTTTTCTACTTGGAAACTTTCCATTGATGTTATAGTTTTCCCTTAGTCTAGTAGTCTATACAATACATTTTAAATAACCCATTAAGACAGAATTAATGAAAATGAGTGAAAAATGTGTACTTTTGAAATCTTCCTCTCTTCCTTCTCTAGGAGACAACATTATTTTTCTGATTTACTGAACACCCTAGATGCAGTCGTTATTGGGGTGACTCTGTTTATTGCTACCATTTACATATTTTATGACACCAAGTTTCTTGGAGATAGTCCAAGGTAGGAAATGTGTGACTTATCTCTCAAAGCCCCTCTTTTCTTTTTTTTTATTCTTTTGGGTTTGTTTGTTTTGTTGCATTTTCCATGATTTTAATTTTTAAATTTGAACTTTGTGGTTCTGTACCAAATAAGCTGCTTGGACATGAAATACTTAGATAAATTTTCGTGTACTTGGAAACTAAAAGCTGTTGGCATTCAGGAGACAGTGAAGGGTATATGCTAAGTAACTAGCTGATAAATGAGGAGAAAGGGCACAAAGAAAAAACTGGAGACTTAGCCTCTTACTCCAACTTTATAAAATCCTCATTAAATTCCCATTTGTACTTTGACCACAAATACTTAATGTTTTCTAGCTTTCTGGGATTTCCCCATAACTAAGAGAGTATTAATTTAAACATACATAAAATTTGAGTGACTCCAATAAGGTTCTCTAAAAAGTAGAAAACACAAGAAGATGTCAGGAGGTAATATGGATAGGAACAGAGGAATTTTATAGTATGGTTCCAGTGGAATTGAAGAAGCCTTGGAAGAGTTCAGATTGTTGGGGATTAGAAACCAAAATGTGTATTAGGGGAATTTCCTCTCTTCTTCTCCCTTCCCCCTTTCCTACCTCTCTGCTTCCCCCTATTTTATACTGTTTCAGTGAAGAACAAATATGTATTGGGATGTGGGTGGGGGGTAAGGCTTACTCATTGTAATCGGTCTTCTGTATCCTAGCTTCTCAGGGCTTCAGTTCAGGATCCAGTTAAATTTGCTGTGTGATAAGTTTTTGGAATTTTGAAATAACCTTGAGTAACCTCTTAAACTCTACCCTAGAGCCCCAAATTGGTATTTCTGAAGCCTATAGCCCCTGTTTTAACCTTCCAGGTGACTGGTTTATGCAGGCTGAAATTGAAAACCCACTATTCCAGAACAGTAGTTTTCAGCCTTCATAGTTTTTTACAGCAGAAGAAACGGTAGTCAGCACACTTGGGAAGTATTTTTGCTGCTTGATATGCCTTCATGAGCAATAGTGACTCCCTGTTTACAGGAATAACTCAACCACTGTTTTTTTCAATGTATTTTTTATTGAATGTTTGTGTATTTTGTGAAATATCTTAATCATATTTAGACCCTCTCCACCATCTGCACTCCCCATATATCCCCCTGCCACAGATTTCATGCATTCTGTCATATATGTTAAGGCCTATCAAGTCAAGTTTGTGTACCCAGATATCCCATGGTGTGAGTTCATCCCCTGGAGTCAAATCAGCCTATCTAGAGTCATTCCCTTAAAGTAGATTAACTCTCCCTCACCTGGCAATCAGCTGCCCATAGTTTGGGGCCTGCTGCCCATTTCCCTGATTCTATGCTGGGTTTTTGTCTGATTTGAGTTTTCATGGGTCTTGTGCATGCTGTCACCATTGCTGTAAGTTCATGAGCAAGTTCCCAGAGACCTGGAGGACTCTGTTGCCTTATGATCATGCACCAGCCCTGGCTCTTACAATCTTTCTGCCCCCTCTTCTGCAATGGTCCCTGAGCTATGGGTGGGTGAGGTTTGATATAGGAGTTCTAGCCAGGATTGCACATTCTGCAGCTTCTTATTCTCTAAACTTTGACCAGTTATAGCCCTCTGTGTGCATTGCCCTCTGTTGCATGAAGTTTTGCTGGTGAGAGTTAACAGATGCATTAGTATTCTCTCTACCCCCTGTTCCACTATGTTCCATGAGCCTTGGGTGTAGAGGCTCCACCGTAAATGTGTCACTTAGGGCCGGACATCTCACAGACACTTATTCTCTGTGTGTGATGAGTTGTGAAACTCTGTTATTGTCTCAATCTGTTGTAAAAAGAAGCTTCTTTGAGGAGTGGTGAATGGTATACTTGTCTGTAAATGTAAGGTTCTATATTTAGCATACATTAAGAAATTAAATTTGTCTAGGATGTGACACAGGTAGGGTTTTCTCCAGCCATGACCTCTCCAGCCATGTGTATTTGACTACATTTACAATGTCATAGATGAGTCCCTTCCCATTGAGAGGGCTTTAATTCCAATTAGATAGCTGTTGATTATCCCCAAGATGAAAGTGCCACTACTGCACCAATAGAGATATTTTCTGTGCTAGCCATTGTAGTTACCAGGCTTTATACCTGGGTAGAACCATTGATTGATTTTCTCCCTTAGCAGCTTGCATAATATCCTTTAGAACTATGAGACCTAGTCTTCAGGGAGGAGGCTTTCGGGTCAGTTCCAGCTCCATTGTTCCAAGTCCTGTGTTGGAAGCATGTAATGTCTTCAGCAATAAGGTCTTACCTTCAAGTTCTGGGAGATAATCAACAGCCTGTGGCAATAGCCTCTGTTATTTTAGGATTCTCCTGGACCACTGTGACCAACAACTCAAAGGGAGGTTTCTGTTGTTTGGCACTGTGTTTCTTGGTACATAGCCTTCAGCTACACACATGCACTCGTGTTCAGATTTTGTATGTGTATTTTTCAGTAGGTTTTTGAGTGAATACATTTCCCTCTGGTTTGTCACACCACCCAAGCCTTATTTATCTCTCTTCTCTCTCTCCCTAACTTCCTCCTCCTTACCCAGTTAAAGCACTGCCATTTTCTTTGTTTTCCCCTTGATAAAACCTGTCACCTATTATCTCCCCTCTCTTGAGCTCCATTTTACCTCCATGGTTCCTTGTATATCCTTCCCTCCCCCTTCCCAGTTAAATACCCCCATTTTCCACATTTCCCCCTTGGTAACATCTGTTCCCTACTATCCCCCTCTCTTGGGCTCTTTCTTTCTATTTACCTCCATGGTTCCTTTCCATTTTCCTGGCCTTTGTGGTTACATCAGGATATATACTCACTTATAAAGACTTGGTTCTAAGATCCACAAATGAGAGAACATACATTACTTATTGAATCTGTATTACTTCACTTAGTATAACAGCTTCTAGTTCTATTAATTTACCTGCAAATTTCATCTTTTCTTGCTAAGTAGAACTCCATTGTGTAAATGTACCACATTTTCATTATCCATTTGTTAGTCGAGGGACATTTAGTTTGTTTCCATTTCTTAGCTATTGTGAAGAGAGCAGCAACAAACGTGGATGTACAAGTATCTCTACAGTAGGATTGGTCCTTTGGGTATATACCAAGGAGTGGTATAACTGGTATAATCTACCGTAATCATATGGTAGATTCATTTTTAGTTTTCTAATCTAAAAGAGCTTTATTTAGTATGTATCTGTACAATTCAATAAAAAATTATAAAGTCTCTTTGTAAGATTTGACCCAAGAGATGTTTAAAACAAGCAGTTGGCACAAGAAGGGAAGCCTTTCTCCCACCTTAAAGCAGACAAGCACCGCCTCCCAGGCAGAGGCTGTCTGTCATGGGTAAAGCACCTGGAAGCACGTTAACCAACATATAGGATCTGTGAACATTTGAGATCTTCTTCTAGTTTCAAGCTGTGAATTAAAATTCTAAAATCCAGTATTTCAATACTAATTCAAGTACACTTTGGCTAAAGGCAAGCTGAAATTTTAACATTTTAGAAAAGTTAATGTGGAATCAGGATAACACTTTTGCATTTTTAATTGTGAAATAAAGATGAATACTAGATGAATACCCACATATGCCCTTGTCCCTGGCAGTGCCCACTAAAACATACATGTATGTAGACACATGCATACACATGAACTTACTGAGCTGTGCATGTCGGGCACAGTGTGGCTAGAATCCAGGGCCTGTCCATTTATGGCAAGTGCGCTATGACTGAGCTACAAACTCCACCCAGCAAAATACCTTATAATAGCAAATGGTCTAGATGACCAAATTTTCAGATGTCCCTGGTGAACATATCTGAAATAAATCCTTTTCTGTAAATAGTGGTGATAATAGTGATAGAGTCCTTTCTACTTGCAGAACCTCTGTCAGCCATGGTAGCAGCAATTGGCCATTTAATGGTTAAAGTAGTCAAGTGTCACTTGAAACATACAACTGTACCTGATTTGCTGATTTTTTTGACAGGAAGCCAGAGGCTGTTATATCACAAGAGCCTGAGAGTGCTGTTTTTTCCATTAGTCAGACTGATCACATGATTTGGGAATGTTCTAGTACTGCCCTATTTGCTAGTGCTAGGGACAGAACCTGGGTGTTGTGTGTGCTAGGCAAACTGTCTACCTCTGAGTTATACTCTTAGCTATTGGTTTAGACTTTTTATTTATATATTTAATTAATTTATTTATATTTTATGTGGATGAGTCTTATGCCTGCTTGTGTGTAAGTGCACCCATATAGTGCATTGTCCCAGTAGGACAGAAGAGAGCATTGGATCCCTTGGAACTGGAGTTATGGATGATTGTTAGCAACCATGTGGGTGCTGGGATTTGAATCTGGGTCTTCTGCAAGAACAATTTGTTCTCTTAACTGCTGAGCCATCTCTCCAGCTCCTAGACTTTTAATTTTTTTATTATTTTGATTGTGTTTTTGTGTATTTCATATAAAAACACCTTAATCATCTTTACACACCCTCCCCCATCTGAATCCTCCATAGACCCCCCCACAACAGATTTCATTTATATTAAGGCCTATCGAGTCAAGTTAGCATATCCAGAAGTCCCTCAGTGCAAGTTCATCCACTGAGGTCTAGTCAGCCTATCTGGAGTCAATCCCTTAAAGAATATCAACTCTCCCTCTCCTAGCAGTAATCAGCTGCCAATAGTTCCTTGGCTAAGATTGGGGTCTGCTGCCCAGTTCTCCACTTCTAATCTGAACTTTTATCTGCTTGAGTCTGCATGGGTCTTGTACATACTAACAGCATTGCTGTGGATTCATATAAGCAAGATCTTGGGAGCCTGTAAGACTCTGTTTCCCTATGGTCATGTACCCCATCCTCTTACAATTTTCCCAGCCCCTCTTCTGCAATGGTCCATGAGCCATGGTGGGTAGAGTTTAATACAGGAATCCTGTCCAAGGGCTCACACTCTGCAGACTCTTATTCTCTGTGCTTTGGCCATTTGTGGATTT